TACTAATAGCACCCCCAGGGGCTCTGCCCTTGCGCAGGGACAGGGAGGGGCAGGCCCCAGGGACCAGGGACAGTGTTGACAAGAAGAGTTCCCAGTGCCCTAGAGTGAGCGGCCTGGGTCCTGTGCTTATCACCCAGTGCTTTAAAGGCTCGTAGAGAGGTGGGACTTGGCGAACCTCACAGACGTCAAAAGGCCCTAAAAGGGAAAATACCAGATAAGTACCCTGGATCACCCTTATCTAGGGTCACAGGAAAGGAGCCAGGTTTAATCTCTAAGCCACACCCGGAACCAACGGTTTGAAGACTTCAGACTGCACCTCCCCACCCCTCCCTGCTCTGTGACCATCAGCCTGTAGGTGGGGCTAGGAGGTGTGGGCAGGGCAGGACTTCCTCCCAGGATGGGACCAGCACCTGAGTCCAGGGAGAAAGAACAGTGCTGTGCAGAGGCTGTGTGTGTGTGACTAGGTCACACTCAATACACTGGATCTGGCATGGCAGTGAGGAGATGAGTCACATACACACTGTGTGGTCCAGGAGGACTCCCCAAAACAGAGGCCTTAAAGATGGCCCTGTGGAGTGGTAGTTTGGACAGATGGATGTGAGACCCAGAAGGCAGAGACTGTGGTGCTAAGCTCCAGCAGCAAGGAGGCTCAGGGGAGCCACTGCTGTGAACTGGGGTGGGTGAGCCTTCGTGAAGACGAGAAGGAAGCAGGAGACAGGCAGAGGGCAGGGCGGCTTGGACTCTCCAGCCCCAGTCTGCTCTAAATTTACTCCCTCCAGCTCAAAGACCCCCTGTTGACCTGATCTCCAAGGGGCCTCCAAAACAATGTCCCCAGGAGGCTAAGAATTCTTGCCTGAGCCTCAGTGTCCTCATTTGTAGAGACAGAGGTCTGCTGTGACTTCCTTGGAAGAATATCTAGGATGGGCATTGGTGGAATGCTGACCAGCCAGCCAGTGGGATAAAGCAACATGAGACAGCACAAGAGGAAAGGCCACCAGCAGACTTCCATGACTCGGCCCCTGTGCTGCCCAGTGGGGTCCTGATACCCCTCTGTGTCTAACCCTGGGGCTGCCAGGAACCTATGTCCCCTAGCCCAGCACACAGGCCTGGGCAGTCCACCTGCCCACACCCCCATGCTCCTGCCAGCCCAGCCCCTCACCCTGGTGATTGCATTAAGTAGTCTCCATTATCACAAATGCCTGGCATTTTTACCTAGTAATTACAGCTCCCACAGCCCCAGGAGGATTAGGGCACAATTAGGGAGTAAGGAAGATGCTGGTGGGTGGACAGAGATACCTGCAAAGAGAATTGGCAGCCTTACTGCCTCTGGCAACTTGTAGCATCCCCTGCACGCACAGTAGCCACTTCAGGCTCCTCCTGAGGAACTCCAGTGGCAGAGGGCATCCACGGGCTTTCCCTGCAGCCCTCCTCACCTGTCCCATGGCACTGCCCTCTGGGAACACTTCTTGTGTGATCACTCCCTGCATCCGTCCCATTCCCTTTCCCTGCAAGAAGAGAGGTCTAGAGCAGAGCTCCGAACACTTCTACCTCGGGGTAGACTGCCCACCCGGCCCTCGCCTGCTCTCGGCCCCCACTCTGGGTTCTCCCCACCTCCCACTCTGCACACCCAGGACAGGACATGCAAACATCAATGGCTTAGATGGCCTCTCCTCTCTCACGATTCCTCTTCACTGTCCTCCAAGGCCTAAATTAAAGCTACTTTCTCCAACGAGCCTCTACCAGCCCCACTGGAAAGAATGACAGCCAAGGAGAGTGATGTGCCGGGCCCTGTTCTATGATGAGGTCCCTCATCTCCACTGTAACCGCAGGAGGTTGCAGTTCCTCAGATGAGGCAGTTGAGACAGGAAAGCAAGAGTCGGAGGAAACACAGGTGGGGAGCAGCGGGTCAGGCTGACCCGGGGCCCTCTGACCCGTGGAGCTTCTTCCTTATGAACAGGTAAAGTGGCCTCTTGCCTGTCCCTCTGGGCTCTGTGAAAATCACATGCTCTAGAGCACAGCTCCCCACAGTTGAACTCTGACTCTACACTCCTTCAAGTGCTGTGTTTCAGCAGGTTTCGAGAGGCGCCTGAGATCCAGCCATTCTAAGCAGCTCTGGGATGCTGCTGACCTAAGGACCACGCTCACTAGTGAACCTCGGGTCCAGAGCAGAGTAGGAAGGCCCTGAGCTGCCATCACAGCCTTGGTAGAGCTGAGCCTGGGTCAGCTGGTCCCTGACATTCATGGCCTTCACAGGGGCTGGGGTCTTGCTACCCACTTCCCAAGGATGGGTCTTTGGAGACTGACTCCTGGCCCTGATTCTGTTTTCCTCTGGGGCTCAGACAGGATGGCGCTGGGGAGCAGTCAGGTGGAGTCTAAAGCTCTGTGGTCCTGGAACCCCCCACAAGCTCTGGCCTAACTCTGCCCCCATCAGTCCTTCTGGAAACTACTTGGGTTACCTATGCTGCCACTGTGAGGAACACACAGTGAACAGTCAGATGGCCTGTCATTGCTGTCCTGACCAGAAGCAAAGTGGAAATGGCACTGGGCGGGCATGTGAAGAGCCTGCAGCTGGTGGGGGCACCTTGGGAGAGAAGGGATTCGTGTTTGTTCCCTCCCCCAGCCGAGGGGACCAGAGGAGCTCCATCTCCTCTCCTAAAGTCAAGGGAGGTGTCAAGAAAGCAGTTCACAAGCTCACCACGTGCTCCTGGAATGTGGGAGGGGTGGCTGACTCCAGCTGAGGAAGGGTGTGGTAAGAAACTGTCCCCGCGGGGTGTCAGGCAGAGTGAGAAGGCCCTATCTCTGCCTCCGGAGGGCAGAGGTTAAAGGTGTGGTAGTGCTTTGCATGGTTTAAATGTGGATCTCACAGAAAGAAGACTTGAATGGGTGGTGACCAAGGAGGTGGAGGGAAGATTGGCCCCAGCAGAAGGGCAGGGAGCTGCCCTAAGCATCTAGCACGTAGAAGATGATTCATCCTGACCCGAGAGATCCCTAGCATGGGGAGTCTTATCACAGGAAAGCCAGCCTTGCATGTGCCCCACAGAGGGAGCAGAGCAGCTCCCTGTACAGCTGTGCCACACAGGTAAGATCTTTGTGCCCCACCCTCCTACTTAGAGAAGTCTCAGATGAATAAGGGAAACCAAGCTGGGCACCACTCTCTCTACCACCTAGCCGCCACAGGGTGGAGAACTCAACACAGACGCGAGCTTGGAGCTCAGCGGCCAGTAGGCTCACCTCCTACCGCTCTGTGCCAGGTGAACATCAATGGATTCAGCTTGCTGTTTTATCCAGAGACTGAGACACCGGAAAGAGAGTGAGCTCAGCGGGAAGGAGAAGGAACAAAGCCAATTCCTATGGAAAAGCTGACGGCCTACCGAGGTCTGCCTGTCCTCTGAACTGAATCATGAACTCTAAGACACAGCTCTTACGCATTTTTGAGGGAAGATAGGGTGACATTATTCCAAGTTCAAGCCCACAAGGGAGGCCCTAACCCAATAATAATAATAATAATAATAATAATAATAAATAATAATAAGCAACTTGCTGCAGCCTACTCAGGGTGTCCTTAGACTTCAACGAACACAGGGAGCAAAGGCCCAGGTGTGAGCAGGCAGGCCTGTATTCCCCTTCTGCACGTTTGGCTGTGCTAGGGGGTTGGCTCTGTCTAGCGCTGGGGTCTGGGACAGAGTGCTGGGCCACGCCTTCCTCTCGGTTTCGGGGCATCACGCTCCGCACATACCTGCCTCTCGGCTTCAGCTTAGAGAAGCGAGCCCTCTGCACTTTGTTGGAGTCGGTTTCTTCAAGCAGTGCTGGAGTAGTTTGTTTTCCCTAGCCCTGCCAAAGAGCCCCTGGCCAGAAGGTTAAGTGAGCTTTATTGAAAAGACACGCTTTTCCTCCCCAGGCCGATAAACAAAGACGCTGCGGGGGAAACTAACTTCCTCCCTGGGGCACTCAGCTGGAGGGGCCCATCCCCGGCCAAGGGAAACAAATACATAAACATTTCAGAGATATATAGGAAGCATTTCTGTTGGAAAGCTGCTGCGAATGGCCCCCGAAGTTTATACAGCAAACCCCACTGGGGCCTCAGCACGACCTCAGCAAGTGGTCTTCGCCTTTCCCCCTCCCGCCCACCGACTGGCTCCTCCTGGCCTCTCCCCAAAGAACAGCCATCAGTCAACGCCTGTGAAGGGCATGTCATGCCCTGGCCCCTTCCTCTCAGGTTCTTCTCTTTCTTGGCTTCTGGCTGCTGTAAGTCAAGCCGCATTGCTTCTTCACGCTCTCCTGCATGGCCTGCCGCACTACAGGTCCCGGGTCAAGTCTCTATCCAACCAAGGACAAAAAGCTGCGAAACTGTCAGCTCAAAATACACCTTTCCTCCTTCAATGTGTTTTCCTCTGGTATGGGTCACAGTGACTGCTTGTGCCCTAAGCCCCTGTGCATGAGAAGGCTTCCCCTGGGCTGTGGCAGACACAATAGGAATGCACCTCTAGGCTAGTACGTGAACCCCACTTCCACAGAGCCCCCAGGTCACAGCTGAGAAGCTTACTGGGAGCAGGGTCAGCCCCAGGGGCAGTGGCTCCCGTGGCTTTTCTACTGTCTTCTTCTTAGCTTCTCATGTGGGCACCCATAGGACAAGGGGTTGGGTGCTCTGCCTCCATCCCTCCCCATCCCTCCATCCTTGTGTAAACTAGTGCAGCACAGCCCTGGACTCTGGTGTTTTGTCTTGTTTCCTTTCTGGTACTGGAATTTGATCCCAGGGGCACTCCACCACAGAGCTATGTACACCCCTGTCCTTCTTGTTTTGAGACAGAATACTGTTAAGTTTCTCAGGCTAGCCGTAAACTTTCAATCTTTCTTCCTCAGCCTCCTGAATAGCTGAGGCACAGACTGTGCATGACAGAATGACATAACATAATCTCTCTCTCCCCCCACACCCCCTCTCTCTTTTCTCCCTCCGTCTCTCCCCCCTCACTCCCCCTTCCTACTCCCTCTTTCCTTCTCCCTTTTCACCTACTTCTTTGCCAGCTTCACACTGCAGTGCTACATTTTCTCTACTCCTTTGTGACACCCATACTCTAAGCGAGCCTAAATGAGGCTCAGACTGCTGATCACAGTGCTCTTCCCATTCCAACCTCCTGTCTTTCTCTGGGCTGTGAGAGGCTCCAAAGATCTTCCCACCCACATTTTCAATCAGTTCTCTCCCCACATGTCCCCTACAGCCACAGAGCGGGGCCAACCCAGTTCCTCTGTTGGTTCCTGTCCCATCAGCCCCTCTGGCTAAGTCACCTCTCCTAGAGGACTCTTCCTCTCATCACTTAGCCAAGCCCCGGCCATCCCCACGGAGCCCTCTGAGCAACTCAGATCTGCCCTGGGACAGGCTTACCAGGGACCATAGCAGCCACGGCTACACCGTTCATCATGTAGCCTGGTGCCACAGACCTGTGCTGGTGAGGCAGAGGCTGGGAGAGGTCAGGGAAGGAGCCATGCATAGCCCTGAGGCCGAGGAGACTGCTGTCTGCAGGGCTAGGGGCTAGCAACTGTCCTTGCCTGCAGTGCTCATGGCTATGGGGCCCCCACTCCCCACCCGAGTGCAGAGCAGACCACACGCTCCTTCTGTGCCAGGTGAACAAAGAAGTCTCCATCCTCAGAGTAGATTTGACTCTTGCTTCATAGAAAACTTATTACCAGAAATAACCAGTGCCCTGGGTCTCCTGGGCCAACCATGTCAGAGACCTCAGTGAGGGCAGGCGACAAAGGAGGGGGGCACAAGAAAGCAGCAGAGTGGCTGGTGATGTCCTCCCCATCCTTGGCGTCAGGGGCAGTGAGGAGGCGGTGCAACCTCACACAGGGCCCCTGCCTCCGCCTTGGAGGCCCTATGTGGAGGAGCAGTGAGGCCTTGCATGCTTGTTGCAGTGCTGGCGCAGAAGGGGGTGACATCTTCTTGGAGATTTGCCCCGAAGGCCTGGAGTTAAGGGGTCACTCCAGGAATGACCAGTGGAGCCGCTGACCTTAGCTGCATCCCAGGTCACAGGATGGGGTCAGAGCCATTCCAGTCCACAGAAGCCCCCTTCCACCTAAAAACAGAGCAACAGGAGGAGTGAGTGAAGCCGAGAGCCCTCTCTTCCCCTGACTGATCAAAAGTCTGATCTCAGAAGACTTCCGTTTTCATCCTAACCACTTTACCCTTCCACGTGTACACATAACACCACACCCCCTCATGAAACAACCATCCTCCAGGACCTTGGGTAGCAATGGGACAGAGAGGGCTTACCCATCTGGGCCATAGCCACCTCTGTGCCAGGTCCTCTGGGCCCTCTGCTCCTGTGGGTGCTCCAGGCACATTTGGGCCCAGCTGCTTTCCAGAGGGGTGTAATGACGGTCCTTTAGAGACACCCATGGAGGACTAAGAACGTACACATCCTGAGGTGTCCAAAGTGCTGGAAACCAGAAAGATGGAGGGAGAGGCCCAGGCAGGGCTGGCAAGCAAAACATCGTAAAGATTCTGGATTTTTCTCTAAGACCCACAAGGGGCCAGTGAAGGGCTTTGAGCACCACAGGACCATGACAGAGTTTCTAAAATTGCTCTATAAAGCCGCGAGAAGCACTGAGCAGAAGTAAAATCCAGAGTCAGATACAACTTAATACTAGTTCCATCCCAACATAAAAGTTATTATAGATGAGACCATGAATCTTCTTAGCATTGGATTTTAATACTTGGTGCTGATTTTGTAAGACAGGAATCACTGGCAGCAGATGGAGAATTCATGGAAATTGTGCTAGAGGTGGATTCTCCATATATGTATCTACCAAGACTGAACTAGAACAGGATGTGGTCCATCTTAGCAGCAAGGCACAGTGGGAAACAGATTTGTAAATGGTTTCCCAAACCTGCGGCTACACTCCATTTTGAAAACCTTCAGATTTTCTTTCAAATTGAAGTCAAAGTTCTAACTGCCACAGGGCAATGCAAAAGGAAAACCATTCTCCCAAGTTGTCCCGCAGCCTGGGAAAGTCTAGAGTCTCTGACTACTACAGCGAAGGATCCAACCGGCGGTCCCAAAGTAACACTGCTGCATCTCCCGTGGAGTGCCCATGAGCACCAAGGATCCTCCTTATGTGTGGGTTCTGCACCCTGACTCAGCCAACTTTGGATACAAATACAAAACCAGTGTGTCTGTACTGAGTGTGTGCAGACTTTTTCTTGTCATTATTCCCTAACTGCCGCAACCACCATTTACACAGCATTGACATTGTACTAGCTATGTTAAGCCATCTAGAGATGATTTAAAGCAGCAATGGCAAACCTTTTAGTGACATGGCAGCTTGCATGCCATGGGTTCTCCATCACTGATTTACATACAGTATTTAGGAGGACCAGGTAGGTTGTATGCAAATACCATACTACAGTATTTTATAGAAGGGCCCTGAGCATCCTCGGAATGTGCTATTCACGGTGGTCCTGGATCCAAGCCTCTGCAGGTCCTGAGGGACAACTACAGCAGATCAAAATAGACCTGACCCTCTGTCACACAGCCATCTCCCGCTTCTTCCTTTCTCAGGTTTCTGCCTCCTTCTTTAGCTCTGTGCACTGCTCAATTGCTGCATCTCTAATTTGGGGCCAGGAAGTGACACCCTTCTAGACACAGCAGGATTCGTGCTCACTCTGATCTTGTAAGCTGCCTTCCTTTAGGCTGCAGCCAATTCCTGGTAGCTGTAAGGACGGTTATATTCCCTAAAGGTGTATTTTCTATACTTTACTGCATTTCATTTCTCTCTGAAGAAGCGAGGAGATTTCTTGGTATTTAGAGGAAAAAACTAACATAACATCAACGCTGTGCCTCTTGCTCCTCTGGCAAAGCCCAGTGCAGAAGACGGTGCTTGCATACAGCCTATTTGGGAACAGAGAGTATCGCCTTCTCCTCCTCACCTCACCCAGTGTACTGTGAGGACATATCTCCCGTGACCAGCGGGGAGTGTATGCATGTCATGTTCACTGCGGTCCTGACACAAGACACAGCCCTGGGTGAGGCTGTGCACCCCAATCAGCAACTGGAAACACTTTATGTATGTATGAATGCTGGCTCACATTCCCTTGTTAAAATGCTCTGTACAAAGGCTGGAATGGTAGATGCTGGAAAACGTGATTGGCCATGACCGTGAGCAACATTTTAGGGAATTCTTTTCACAGTTATTTTCTGGTTCCTTTCAGTGTCCTGTGTTGCTACGCAGTGATGCATAGAGATCTTGCCCACGTGGGCTTGGACAGCTTTGGGGCACTCGGTCTTTCTCTGCAGCACGAAAGCCTGGCAGTACCACTTCCCACCCACCTGACCCCTCCCCTGGTTCCTTAGATCCTTCCGGGCACAAGTATCAAAAGCAGATCTAGATATTCAAAAGTACATGTACATGTTCTTTAAAAAATGAATCTTTTAACAGTAAATGCAGGAAGTAGCATCTTAATAAGATCCATCCCTGCCTAATGTGTGACAGAAGATGCGTAAGTAATGCTTGCACATCCATCAGTGAGCCCTGTCTGCTCTCGCTGTCCAATGTCATTGTGTGGGTTGCAAAGAGCAGCATCACTTATTCTGTCGGACATGAGATGATTAAGTGATTCTGTGGGCTCTGGGTGCTTTGACCAGGCTATTAAGACTCTTTCCAACCAGCCTATTAGGCCATTTCCCAAGTTTCTGCATGGCAGGCTAAGCCAGATGCTTTGGAGCTGAGCCACTCTGATGGAATGCACCCACACTCATTCACAGCCCTCAGATTCACTCTTCTTCATGCTAGATTAAGAGACACTGGAACTGTTTGGAGACAACTGGACATGCCGCGGGGAAGTCAGTCTGCTCTTAGTTCATGACTCCACCTGAGGGTGGAGTCTGATGCCGCTGGGTTCCAGGGGAGCTAATACAGGTCCGACCAGCCGCAAATAGCCTCTATTCTGACTTGCACAAGTGAATAGAGACTGGAAGTAAGATAGTATGGGAGGGCATCATGCTGATCCCTGGTTCCTAGGGCCTGGTCCAGTCTGTGCATCGACAGGGTTAATACTACATTAGCCATCTACAGCAATGCAGCACGGTGTTTAATGAAGTCTCCTGTGACGCTTGAGGTTTTCAATTTTCTGTCTCCCTTCATCACCTTTACAGTTTTGAAGTATACAATTTTAAAAAATCTTTTATTGCTCTATAAAGATTTGGGGTAAGCCTCAGTCACGAGTGTTACACACACACTTGAATCCAGGTCCCCAGCGGGCAGCGCAGGAGAGCAACATTTCGCCCTCAGCCTGGTTCCTAAGGCCCTTGTCACATAGCTTTCACCTTCCCCATTCTGACAGGCAAGCCCATGTTCCTCCCATGATCTGGGTTTGCAAACCTCCACCCCAGATCTTGGCAAAAATGGTGTCTGGCTTCAGTGCAGGAGTGAATCACACTCATCGGCTGCTAGACAACATCGGTGTCACACCAGAGTCTAAGGCTCCCCATCATGCTAGTGGATTTGTGCTTGGTTTTGAAGCTATTTACGGAGATAACTAACTAGCCCAGCCCGGCCAACAGGTGCAGAGAAAAAGAGCTGCGCTAGGGAAAGCAGTTTTGCAACGATGGTAGAAAATCAGAGAGGTTTTAAAAACTCAAAGGGCTGAGACAGAACGGGTGTTGTTCTGAATGTCTATGAGTCAATTACAAGGACGAGCAGCAAGAACTCCGTATGAAGCCAACAGCAATTAGTGATGGTGGTGACAGGGGAGGGGTGGAATGGAAAAGCTGCTAAGTGTGTGGGGGAAGAGGCTCACTCATCAAAACAAACTCAGGAGGTGGCCAGCAGCATCAGTTTAAGGATCTTTGGCACTTGGGACTGGATAAGTCTTTGTTGGAGGCTTTCCCGTGCCTATAAGTTGTTCAGCACCCTTTGCTTGGATGCTAACAACCAAAAATGTCTCTGACTGCCAAATACCCACGGGAATGTCAAATTCCCCCATGGAGGGGCCCTGACTTAGAGGTTGACCTAGGTGAAAATGTCTGGTCCTTGGAGCCCAAAGTCACCCCTGACATCACAGAGAGTAGGGGCGAGCACTGCGAGGCCGGACCCTTCTCTCCCTCAGCAGGTTTACAGTGTTGAGGAACCTGCTTTATTTCACAGGAGAAAGGTTTCCCCCACCTGTGGCTGTGCTGCTCTCCATCATTCACCTCTCCTGCCCAGCCTCCTTCTGAATCAGATCTAGGATTCCTCCTGGCACAAGTGATTTCTGGCTACCAGCCTGCCTGGGGACCTCTGGGCCAGCAGTACCAGCCTCCTGTGCCAGGCTCAGGGCAGAGCTGGTGTGCCCATCACAGGGGCCCTGTGGCACGAAGATGTCCCTCCACAGAAGCTGCTCCCCCTCACACCTGCTCTCTCATGCACCCATCAGGGAAGCCTGGCTCTTCATTCACACTTCAGTGTCCTTCCCTATGACCAAGCGGACAGCAGAGCAGCAGGAGGCCATGCTTGGTGTGGACAGGGAGGTGGCGGGGGCACCGTGGGAGAAGGGCACTGTGCTCAAGGAGCCCCAGCAATGGTGCCAGTGGGAAATATGAGAAAGGATGAGAAAGGGGGCTTCTGGGGTCAGGGACACCACTAAAAGAGGTAGGCTTTCTGTCCCAGGCCCGCAAAAGCACTGATCCCAGCTGGAACTCGATTTTTCATTTCTCGTCTGGGCCTCCCAACAGGAACATGAGGGCCCAGCTCCAGCCTGATTATGAGCGCTTGCCTCTTCTCCCTGGATGGCTGACAAAGTCTTTCATTTTTCTCCTACTCCAGCTAAGCTGGAAGCATGAGAGGGGTCATTGTGTGTGTCCTGTTTGGAAATGACCCTAAGTGGGTCTGGTTTTGCTGACATGGGTAGAGAACTCCACAGGGGAGGGAAGGGAAGCAGACCCCACATTCCTGACACAGAAAAGGTAACAAGAGACTCTTCGAGGCTGAGATGTGCATCATGCCAAAATGTGAGGGCAACACGGGGACCCGGGGATGGTTCCAATTAGGATGCTCTTCTCTGAAGACAAAACCCAGTCTGGGCTTGTGCAATGTCTCTATGGCAACAGAGCCAGGTGTCAGGAAGTCATGCTGTCCTCTCAGTGACCTTCCTCTGGGCTGGGAGAGCAAGGCCCTAAGCTGCTCATGACTGGCGGTACAGCTAGGGAAGAGACTCCATTCGGGAGACCTTTACTTCTCTGTCTGTAAAAGAAGGGGCCACACTAAGGGGTGTTCCAGGACCTTTCTGTGGACACAGGCAAGATGCCAGGGGTTAGATGCAGGGTTTGGCCTGTACTGGGTGAGGAGTAAGCCAGAGCTTCTTGCAGGGCAGTAGAACTGCCAAGGGTGGGTGGTGGATCTTCCCCTGGATTAGAACAGGGCTGATTCTGAACTTGACTTCTGTTGGATCGCAAAATCTCCGAGTAGGAACCAATTCTTCTCTACTTGTCACCCCCATGAAGTTCAGCTCAGAAGTTCATGAAAGTCAATGTGGTGAAAGGGGAAACCCTGCTACCCACCGGCTCATCTAGTAAGACAGACAAGACAGAAAGGATGAGCATTTAGCTGCATCTCACCAGGTACCTGGAATCAAACCCTGCCTTGGAAATGACCTGTGCATAGGCCATGCACCAGGCAGCAGGACTCAGTGCAGCCTTCACGCCCCCCAGGCCCCTCAGAAAAGACCATTCTGGTGGGTCCCACAGTGACCCTGCAGACCTCCTTTCCAAGTCTCTCCTTGGAGCTCTTTGTGAATCTGGGATGAAAACAAAATGCAAAGCCTTTGTGATCCAACCCCTTGGAGGAGGAGTCCAGGGGGCTGCAGCTACTGTTTCCCAATACAGTGCTGTTATCTGATAGGTAGAGAGGAGTGGACACAGAGATCCCACTCTTCCTTCTTCCACTCAGCTTTCCTGGGAGTAATGCTGGGGAAGTCTCAGCATGTTAGCTGGGGGAATGGGTCAGTGGAACAGTCAGAAGACTGGGGTTAGGAGGAAAGCCCCTAGCCCAGCATGTCATATGGGGGGACTCTGGAAGGTCAGTCTCACTTGCCAGTTGACTCATACTAGGCAGACACAGAGGAGGTTAGGATGCAGAGGTCACTCGATCAGCTCTCAGAGTGTGGCCCTGGGACCAGCTGTACCAATGGCACTAAGGATTTCTTAGAAAGACAAACCCAGGACCTGTCCTGGGTACCTTGCAGCAGGAGCCCTGGGTAACCAGAAACCCAAGTTCTGGCATGTTCTCCATAGCATCTTGATGTCCCTGAAGCTTGAAGATCCCTGACCTGGAGAAAGACTTCCCAGTGCCCAAGCCATGAGCACATATGGGCTCTCCCAGGTACTGGGAAGCTGGGAGGGCCTGGGGCAGAGTCCCCAGGTCTGCTGTGCCTGAGCTGCATGCTGCCCAAAGAGAGTTACTGTCATTCTGTGACAAGCTCGTGAGATGCTGCTGGAGATGCTGGGGCTCAGCCTTGTCCAAGGCCACAGAAGTGAGCACAGCTGAGGGCAGGGAGGCCCAGCCTCAGCATCGGTCCCAGGTCCCATTTCACGCCCTGAGGCAAGCCACCTCCCAGCCTCCCTCATCCCCTGACATCTGCCACATGGTGCAGGGAAGGAAGTTCTGGGAGACAGTGGCACTGGGTGCCACACACCCACCCTCCAAGAGTCTGCCCCGAGATCCCTGTTGTACTTGTTTTGGGCAAAGGGCTGCCTCCCAAACAGGCTGGAGCCCAAAGTCACAGAGCCAGACCGGGGCCCCGGCCGGGGCCTCAGATCCAGAGGAGGCCGAGCCTATATCCAGGGTGTGGTCTGAGCCCTGCAGGGCCCTGCCGGAAGGATGCCCTGGGGCCTCCATGCTGTGTTACACAAGGTGCCAAGGCCAGCGTCACCTCCCTTCCCTTCTGCAGCCCCTCTCTCATCACCCGGAATGCGTGGCCCTGTGTACATGAAAGACAGCGACCCACACGTGCCCCTAATCTCCTGATGAAACAGACCCGACACATGACCCTGCAAGAATGCTGCATCCCTGCCCAGGGAAGGGAGGGCAGACAGATGGGGACCGCCTGGGGCAGTGCAGTGAGGATGCCGGGCACCCTTGCACTTCTTGTCCCAGGGGTCCATTCAGCCCATTCGAGGGCTCGCCCACCTGTACGCAGGCACGATCCAGCTCTAGCTGTGCCCCTGGATCTCAGGGAGTCAGAACTGGCTTGGGATGGCATCCACAGCCCCATCTGGCTGCAGTCACTTTATAGGCCAGAAAAGGGAGAGAGCGCCTCTGGCCATCCTGAGTGGCTAAGTTACTCAAAAGGAGAGCTAATGCAGCAGTGTGCTTGGTAATGTCCCAGCACTTTCCTCAAAATCCCTGTGAGCTAGGAACTGCCACTGTCCCCATTTTGCAAATGACAAAGGCAAATACAAATAAGTAAAGCCCAACAGCTCACAGTGGAGCCAAGTTTCTGCCTGAGCAACCTAGCGCCAGCACCCAAGCTCCTAGTTGCAACTTCGACTTCCACTCTGGAGGAGGGAAGAGAAGCCGGTTTCCCCTCCCCCAGGCTGCCCACCTCCTCTACAACAATGCATGCTGTGGCCTCCTGGAGGTCCCCAGTCGCAGCTTGGAGCTCCCAGCCCTGTGGAGCACAGCCACAGCCAATGAAGAACTCTGAAGGAAGGGGGCCATGGCTCTTCCAGGGACTGGGCCTCTCCTTTCCCAGCCTAGGGATCCCCTTCCCCACTTAAAGCCTATACCTCTGCAGAGTGCTCCGGTGGCTAAGGCGGCCGCTCCACCTCTACCCCACACGGCAGGTGTAGTGCGTTTCCAGCTCGCTCCAGCCAACAGCAGCACCTTTTAGCCTGACCACACTCAGCACACAGGCTGCCGCACTGGGACGGGGCACAGCATACCCCGCTGCAGGGACATCCCTGAACTGCGAGCCACATGCCACCTGGGCCACTGTGGGGAGCAGGGGAATGGCTTTCTGCAGGAGCCCCAGGTCCAGTGTCTCTGTCATCTACAGGGGCTCACCTCGCCACATCCCTTGGGGCCCTCTTCCTCAGGCGCTACACCCCACTGCCCCACATCCCAGCCATTTTGGGCAAGGTTCCAAAGCCAGAGCCAGCCCAACTCACTTAGTCCTGATGCAGAGCTCCAGAGGGGGGACCAGGCCCTTGCCGCTGTCCTCGGGGATGGTCTGTGTAGTGTCTGGACAGGAGGAGAGAGCAGCACAGGTCAGCCCAGGGCTCTGTGCTCACCCTGCGGTCAGCACTGGCAGCCACACTCCTGCTCCCCGCCCCCCCCCCAGGCCCTGTGCCCTCATTTCTACCTCAGCTAGACCTGCTTCCATTCCTGGCACAGACCTGAACTTGGATAGCTCACTGATCTCTGATCACCCCCTCCCTCATGCTCCTGAGGCCTGCTTCTGCTACCACACTTTCCTCAAAACACATTTGACTTCACCACTTCCCTGCTCCAAAACCTTCTATGGCTCCCTATTGCCTGAAGAATAAATCCAAACTTGTCAGCCAAAGTTTTCAGGGTTCTTGCCATGTGGCCTTCACTTCACTTTCACCCTTGCCACCATCAGGAGCTCAAGAGCCACCCCAGAACCCCTCCTGCAGGAGGCCCTGCAAACGTTGCTCCCTGACCATCGGGTCCCGACACTGGAGCGAATCTGCATCGACCTCTGGCCACCCAGACCTGAAGGCTTCCTAAGGGGTGGGCTGGGGACACGCACCAACAGTCAGCCGGATCTGCTCCTGCTGGTTGGCCAGGCCATCGTAGTAGTACAGGTCAAAGAGCCGCTCGGCTCTCCAGTCGGACAGGAGCTCAGGCTGCTGGCTGAAGAGGACACTGAAGTGGCTCTCACTGCAGACCACCCAGATGGGGAACCTCGGGGTCTTCAGGAAGCAGCCGACCTGGAGGGGAGGAGGGCCTGATGAGTCTCATGTCCCAAGATAAGAGCCGGACACCTTCTGTCCAAACCAAGGCAGGCTGATGACCAGGAGATCAGGCCCTGCGCTTGCTGCCCAGACCCCATGCCAGTGTGCCTGGGCTGCCCTGCCTGCCCACTCGGTGGCTCCCAGGGCCTTTCCTGCACAGACCTGGACTCCAGGCATCACCTCAGCTTCCCACACAGTTGTTCCCATGCGGCATCCGCAGTCCTGCCCCTCTCCCCAGGCTTGCTGTGCCCCTCACCTGGACCAGGGCAGACTTCAAGCCAGGCCTTTGCATTCTCTCTCTCTCTGGTCTGGAGTATCCTCCCCTTGAGAGCTGTATCACCTAGATTGCCCACTCCAGGGGCAAGGAGCAGGACTCTTTCCAGCTCCAGAGCAGTCGGCAACCACCCCATGGACTATGGCACCACCGTACCAACTCCTGCCTCACAAACCCATGACCTCAGCCCCTACAGCCCAGGGTGTGATGAGTCCAAGATGCATGGAAACTCTTGTGAATGAACAGGGCCTTGGACCAGAGCCGTACCTTGAAGGTGGGTAGGGCTGGGGGGCCACAAGGAGCTGAAAGAGAAGGGGAAGCAAGCAGTTTGGCATGATGGGAGGGATAAATGAATGGCTGCATAAACTAGGGGTGCAGTGGGGCACTCGATAGCAGGGGCAAGGAGGAGGGTGGGGCAGCACCCAGGTAAGGAGCAAGACCTCCTGCTGACCTTCCTGCTGATGAGGGATTCTCTGATGGGTTCCAAGCCCAGGATGCCACAATGGGGAGGGTGTTTGGGGAAGACACTACAGACTAGGCACCGGGGGCCTTGGTATGTTGCCACCACTCAGCTTGTGATGGGGAAAGAACCCACCAAGGATCCCTGAGGGTCAGGTCGGTTCTGCCCCTCCAGCCAGGCCATACTCCACACTCTCTCTTCCTGCCCCCCAAGACCCCAGGCAGTATGTCTCCTGACCAGGCATCCTGGTTTACACAGCTAGGTACGTGGCCCAGGCCAGGCTGACTCTGGCCTAATCCCCAGCAGCCCCAGGGAGATGTTTGCAAGCTCAGGTATTTACAGCCACTGCCTGTGGATTAAGCAAAGAATGGGAATTATTTTTCCAGTGGGCATACTTTCTCCAGGGCCTGTCTCAGAAGAGTGGCACAGTAGCTGCCTCCTCAGAAGTGACTCTGGGCTAGAGGTGCTTGGGACCGAGAGGCCATGCTCAGCATGTGCCCATGAGTGCAGCCGCCTCTAGTAGGAGGGCCATCTCTACAATGGGCTCACTGCTTTATTATCTACAAGCCCTCCTGCCCCATACCACCAGGGCCCTCATCACCAGTGCTATGTGATTTCAAGTGTGACTGCAAGGCTTACTCTGTGAGATGTGGGGCACTTTGGTGTCCAGGAGGACAAGGCTAGACAGGCCTGACCTTGCAGCACACATGGCTTCATTCTGTGCTTCTCAGAGGTCCCAGCAGGGATGGCCCTGCCTGTGACAGAGCCTCACAGCCAGCCAGGAAGCAAGCCTGCCTGGAGCCAATCACCCTGGATTTTCCAACAGGGAGCACAAGGGCAGCTGGCCATAAATATATCACGTAACAGTCAAGAAGAGATTAAGGGGGAACAAGCTGCCCAGAGAGCTTCTAAATGAGCTCTCTCATCCAGGAGCCCCTTCCAAGTGAGTGATATTTTCCAGAGACAGAACTCACTTCCTGCAGAATCCTAAGCAACCAGGGCTTGGGACGAGGGGGATTGGAGGCCACATCCCTTGGCATGCTCCGGGCTTCTCCCCATGGGGACCGCGCCACACCACCGGGGCTGGCTTATCACTGGTGAGGCTTAATCTGCAGGGCTCTTGAATGATGACCTGCAGCCAGCCTAGACTGCCAAGTCAGGAGCGCTTGTTTACATGGATCAGCATTTTACGGCAGACTGTGATGGTCCTGTCTGTAAGCGCAGCACTCGGCGTGACTTACACGTCATCCCCTGCACCACATTAGGCAGTGGGGACACAGCTCTGAAAGGAACCAGAAGGATCTTGGTCTTAAAGGACTTCCCAGGTTAATTAATGGGGATGAGGGAGAGTACTCGAACAGATTCCTGTGCACTGCACTCCGAGGAGTCTATCATGATTTACCACTGTTTCGTTCTGTTTATCACTAGGAAAGACAGAAGGCTGACAAAGCGCAATAACACCCTGCAGTTTCAGAAATGCTCACATGTGGGGAGATCTACATCTCAACATCAATGAAATATGGAAGATGTGCTAAAGTCAAGAAGAGGCACAGGAAGGAGAATACTTGGGTGGAGAAGGACAAGGCGGGGAGGAGACCACTGAAGAGGGTCCTGCTTAGTGACAAAGAAGGCAGGAAAGGCCTTCCTGAGAGGAAGTCACCTGAAGAGTGGGACAGGCAGGCTCTGTGGCAGGCAGATCACACGCAAAGGCCCTGAGGTGGAGATGGGGAGGGACCCAGAGGGATCCAGTGTCCAGAGCCTGGAGCCTGAGGGGACAGTGGGGGTGGGGGAGGCAGGGACGGATCTGGGACGGCTTGCAGAACACAGGGAGTGTGGGATTTTATTCTCTGCAATGGTTTGCTTAGGTGATCAAGTAAATACCACAGACTGGGAGGCTGAAACAGCCTTGACTATTGTCGCCCGTTGGTGGAGCCAGAAATATGCGACATGGGCACCACTCTAGGTATTCCTTGCCTCATCCTGGGCCTGGGGACAGCACCTTCCCTCCTGCTATCACATGGGCCTCCTCCATGTGTGTCTGCATCCTAATCTCCTCTTCTCATGATGATGCAGGCTCCTTTGGATTAGGGCCAGCCCAGTGACCCCATTCTCACTTAATCGCCTCCTTAAATACCCTGTCTCCGAATGCAGTCACATTTGGAGCTGCTGCAGCCTCAGACTCCACATAGGAATTGTAACAGAACAGAGTTCAGCTCCTAACACTCCATCAGGACCAGAGAACACCGGTTGGAACACATGGATGGATGACAACATTTGCTGGGCGGGGGATGATCAGAGGAGGATGGGCTCTTAGGGGACCCTCTGTGAAGCTCTGTTTTCCTTTGATTTCCTTCAGGAAGACATGAACAAGCAAAGCTTGCAGGTATAGGAGAATCTGTGGGAGCAGGAGGCACCTTGTCCTTGCATGGTCCCTTAGCACCCTCACCAGTGCAGCTGGGGCACTTGTCCTTCCAGCTGTGTTCTGCAGCTGCCCTCACTGGGGAGCCTCAGTCTAGGAGAACTCTGGAGTTCAGGAAGGGAGGCAGAAGTTACATGGGCAAGAGGAGTCTGGCGTGGTCACACGTGCACAGGCCCAGCCAGGCTGAGGCAGGAGGCCAGTTCTGTATAGCAAGGAGCATGTTGCTCTGGTCCAGAGTTTCCTGTTTGCCTTAGGCACATCCTGAGCTCGGGTCATCTGAGAAGCTCATCTATAAGTAGGACATCCCATCCCTGCTCTCCTGCACACTCACTAAGGGCCCTGGGTCCTGGCTTCCAGCCAGAGGCCACAGAGAAGCCTGGAGCCAGCCTGAGGCCTCATCTGTGTGCATAAAGGCATCAGGAGGCAAGCTGTTTCAAATGCAAGATCTTCCCTCAATGGAGTAAGGCAGGCCAGACCAGGCCATGAGTGCTGGCTCTGAGTCCAAGTCTGGGCTGGGTAATGAGCCTGCCTAGATCCAGCGTGTCTAAAAGTGTGGGGTCCTAGGTACTCGGGGGCAGAAAGGATAGCAGGTAATGGTAAAGACTAGGGGCACTTTGCCAGGGCTTCCAGGTCCTTCCTTAGCCCTCAGGAAAAGGAGAGGCCGAGGCCCAGCCTGAATGGCCTTTTCAGACTGAAGGTGGCAGCCAGAGCTCTCTCTTTAGCAAATGCCAGCTGTGAGGCAGCAGACGGCATCTTCTTCCTGCTGGGAGACAACCTAACCTACGCCACAGTCAAGTCTAGGCCAGCAAAGCAGGCTCTGGCTCTGCGGATCCCAGCACTCCATGAGGGCAAGGTAGCTGGGGACTGAAATTCTTCAGCAGTCATCCTATTCCAGGGGAAGGATGACCTCCACTGGTCTTCACGACAATTACCCTCTGTTGACCAAAGGAAAACAGTTTATGTTTGACCAACACCCTGGACACAAGAATGAAACCAGTGCTCATGGTGAGCCTGGGGCGTCTAGAGGCCTGGCTCAGGTTCCCTTACTGAGGCCGTGGCATTTCAGGTTGAAGGCTTTTGGAGCCCACCCAGGGCCTCCGGTCAAGAGTCCTGGTGCACCCCACTGGCCACCTGGCCACATTCCTGGGTTCTCTCCTGCTGCATGCACAGTGGGGCTACTGGAAGGAGCCCTCATGCTCCTCTCCCTAAGTCTTTAGAGCCCACACGTCTGCACTGTGTGAGCCATGGGTACCACCAGTGAGGGGATCTGGCGATAGCATTGCACCCTGTGGTCCATGAGCAAGGGACAGCACATGGGGGCGGGGGGGGTGAAAATTCCAGTGCTGCAAATCCATTCACCTTGGGATCTCTAGGGGCCCCATGGGTGGGGTCTGTCTGGGCTCTGCATGAAGCCTCAGCGAAGCCCACCAGCAATCTGCACAAGGGCAGTGACCAGATTACAAAAAAGAAGCTCTCACTGCTGCTTGGGACAATGCTTTCCATATACTCAGCCACAGAACAGCAGACTCCCTACATGGAGAGAGAAGCCTGGAGAAGATTCCATGGCAGCTCGGATAGGCAGTCAGAGTCCATGTGTCCCAGCCAGCCTTCCTAGCCCCTGTTCATGCTCCTCGGGGATACAGCCCCCAAAGCCCTGCCCAACTCCACTTAGAGGCTGGGCTCCTTGCTGAGCCCCCAGAGAGAAGAAGGCATTGGACAAAGGAGTCCAGAACTAGAGTGATATATGCATAAGCCAAGGGATACCAAGATACCAGAATATGCCAAAGGCCAGGAGGGATAAGGAAAAAGTCTGTGTGGGCCTCAGAGGAGCCTGGCCTCTGCTGACTTGCCAATCTCAGACTTCCAGCCTCCAGGACTGTGAGAGAACGGATTTCTCCTATTTCAAACCACTACATTTGTGACCTAAGATCTCTGGTCTCTGTTCTTGAAGAAGCTCTCCACTAACACACATACACACACACACACACACACACACACACACACACACACACACAACCAGATGCAACCACTGTGACCCACAGCCCCACTATAGAGCCCTAGAAGTGTTTTCTTGAAAATCTTCCCCTAGAACAGGGTCTGGGTCTGAATTAGAAGTTTGTATTCAAGTGCAGGGAAGCCACGCTTCTCCCCCGTGGTTTAGGCTGGCCCTGAGCTCCAGCCGGCTCTGGGAAGTGGAGTCCAGCCTTCCTTCTCCCAGAGGTCCCTCAGGGAGCCAGGCTCCTTGGGGTCTGGAGGCTGTGCCCTCTGAGTACCTGGCACACATTGTAGTGCTCAAAGAGAGATAAGAAGCCAATGTCACTTCGGGCAGCGATGCCTCGGAGGAGTGTGATGTTTCCATTCCCAGAATCCAGCTCCACCACGTCGTTGAAAACATTCGACACAGCTCTCCCAGTCAGCAGCAGATTGACAAGTTCCTGTTGATGAGACAAGGGGAAGGCCACAGCTGCAGGAGGGTGGAGGGGACACTGGGAAGAGAGAAAAGGGTGGAGACGGAAGAAAGCAAGGAAGGAGGGAGGCAGTCAAACTCTACTTTCCCACGAACCCCAAGGGGAAAGTTGCCAGCTTCTCACATCAGAATAATTTCAGGCACCCATCAGTCTTTACTCTGCAAGCATTCATGGGATACCAACTGCATACAGGACACTGTCCTAGGCCCCAGTTCATCAGAAGGACCCTGGGACAGGTGACACATGGCTCCATGCTCAGGTCCAGGGTCAGGGGCTCGGACATGTGGCTATGAGGTTCAAGCGCACTTCAGGATGTGTCTGGAACTACACAAATGTACACACAGACCATTCCAGGGCATAGAGGGATGCAAAACCCTCCAAGACAAGGAAAGAATGGCTTTGTGAAGTTCTGATTCTTGAAGGATGGTCTTTTCAAAGTAGCTTTCAATTGTGAAATAACTTCATATTCAATAGAAGTTGTAAAAATAGTACAGAGTTCCTGTGTACCCTTCACCCAGCTTCCCCCAAAAATAACATCTCACAGGACCAGAGCACATGCTCACCACCAGGAAGCCACCATGCTCAGCACCAAGCCTGGATCTCACTGGGACAGCAGCAGGTTTTAATGAAGGAAGGAGGCCAGAGAAATGTGCTGTGAGGGGAGGGGAGGAGGAGCAGAACAGAGAGGTGACAGGAAGCCCACTCCCTCTTGCCACAGGTAGTAGGCATTGGGGACCCTGTGGCTCATACTACATTCCTAGCAACGCAACCAGAAAGTGACCTCGCAACCTGGAGCTGGTTCCACATAGAGCTGAGCACTTCTCTGGATCTCCTTCACCTGACAGCTGTACGAGATGGGCAGCAATGGCAAGAAGGGCCTTTCCTTACATAAGGCAACTCTGGTCCAGCCTCCTGTTAAGACTGAAGAGACCGAGCCTGCAGATAACAAGGGACTTCCCTGGCCACACCGCCACTGAAGGCCAGAGCTAAACCTCCACCTGTATCTCCTGGGTCCAGGCATCTGCCTGGGTTTGCTTCCTAATTCTCGTTCCCTCCTTACATTTATGGTGCATCTGCTATGTCAACCAGCTCACTAGGAACTGGCACTGTCTGTTAGGCCAGCTCTTCTCAGCCCATGGGAATGGCCAAAGCTGCCCTTTCTCCAGCATGCTGTAAGGACAAGGTTTATGGAAGTGTTTTCCCTTGAATTGTGAAAACAATAGCCAAGGTCAATAAATTCTTCTGTTAACACCAATACCCCTGCTCCAGTGACAATAAAAGAGGCCTCCAGTGATGGCTGGCCAACGGCCCTCATTGGAGGGAGATACTGAGGGGGTCACTGTGTCCTTGCAAAGGAAATGAGAGAAAAGAGCTTGGAGGAAATAGCTGCTCTAAGATATAGCACCTCAGAGGCAGGGCACTAAAAATGGACAGCCTTGTCAAGAGTGGCTCAGGTTTTTCCATTTGGTTTTTAAAAGGAAAATAGAAAGCTCTACTCCTCCATCAGGACGCATTGAGAACCTTCATCCTAGAAAGAGGCCTTCTTGAGATGAGGAGAAGAGGCACGAGGCATCTCCTGCTCCCAGAGGCCAAGCTGCACACCAGCAAAGCTCAGCCATCACCTAGGCCCTTGCTAGGGCCCACGGACAAGTGATACTTTCCTCCCAGAATGGCCAGTTAGAAGTTCAGAATGCCTGGCCCCAACTCAATCCCCTGAATCCTAATCTACACAATGCTACTTCTGGGGATTTTTGTGCACAGCACAGCAAAACAGAAGCAGCCATGGTCTAGTCAAAATGCCTCTTCTACAAACATGGAAAAGGAAGCTGTGGAGGGCCCAGCACCTTTTCTGAGTACAACAGAGAACAAGACTTCAATCCAGTCCCACCCCCCGGCCTGATGTCCTTCCCCTGTCCCTCACTCAATGGTCACCATCCCTGAGCACTACAGGGATTGTGCCCTGTCCGCTACAAAGGGAAGCTTTCCGGGGCCAGAGAGGTTCTCACAGTGAGAATACAACTACCCCAGGCAGAGAGAAGAGTGGTGGCTTCCCAGCTCCTTCCAGGAAGCCGAGAGGCAGCCAAGGCTTCATTCCTTTGTGCGTGTCCCACAAGCCATAGCTCTACAGCTTGCCACTGCAGAGGACTTAGTAGGCCTTCAGAGCTAGTCACATGGGAGTCAAGACCCTGGACAACTGGATCTTTACCTGGTCCAGAAGACTGAGTTTGGGCACTTGTCTGTGCCGAGGGTCAGATTTCCCTGTGGTCCACCTGGGTAGAAGTCAGGTAGAGTTACCTCCAGATCTCAATGATGGTTGACAAGCAACCACACTTGGGTTTTTGAGGCCCCTGATGGCAGCAAAGGAGGGAATCCCTTTGTAAAGGTGTAGGGGAAAGGGTGGTCATAAAGACAACGCTCCATGCCAGCATGCCAGCTCCATGGCCTATGTTCCCAACTAGACCCAGGGTCCTCAGACGATACCACATCCCCTGCAGCCAGGGCTCCAGGTGGAGCAGAGCTTGGGCCTGCCTTCCTCCTGCTTTTTCTATGTCCTGTATGGCTTTAAGCACAGAGATCAGCCTCTGGCACATGCTCTGAAAACAAAGGATCAAACTGAGCTGTCTTTCTAGTGCTCCTTGAGGGTGAAGCCCAGCAGGGTGTATATGGAACAATGCCTAGAGAGCTTGTTGAAGGACAGGGAGAAAGGAGGGACAGAGAAAAAGAACCACCTGGCCACCCCTTTCCCCCCTTAGCACCCCAACCTGTGTACAGTATCCATGTGCTCCAATCAGGTGGCTGGTGGGGACGTCAAAGTCCTGGCGAACACTAAAAAACACAAAAAGAGTAGCATTAGTATGCTTCTGCCTAACCTGTGCAACCCTGCCAATGACCAAGGGCTTCCCTCAGGACTCCCTGTTTGGTGAGAACCTGGTCCTTGAGCACTCTGTGCTGAGGAGGCCGCTCCCTCCCCAAAGGCATGGGGCCTGGAGCCCTGGCCTGTTCAAGCCAAAATCACTCTATGCTCTGGGCAATGGCTTCTCCTTTGCCCTATATCCTCCAGCTTGACTAAGTAAGGTGAATGGAGTGAAGCCTGGCACAGCAGAAAGGCCCCTGGGCTGGAATCCCAGTATCCTGACTTGGCATCCCACCTGCTGTTTAATGGTAAGGGCAGGTTCACTGTCTCCCATCTCTGGGCCTCAGTTCATGGATCCATTGAGTGCAAGGAATGGACTTTAAGGTCTGCTATGGTCTGACCTTATGTTGGAAGGGCTCAAGTGTCGAAATTTAATCCCCAGCGTGAAGTGGAAAGAGGGTGGACATGGAATCTGACCGTGGCATTTAGAGAAGGGCCTGGGGGAGACGACAGGGGCTAGGTAAGACCATTAGGCAGGTGCTATGATTGAATCCTGGTGGGTATGTACAAAGAGACTGAGACCAGGAGAGTCATACATGCGCTCCCCGAGTCTTATCATGTGACACCCTGCATCTCCTCAGTATACTGCCAGCGAGAAGGCCATCACCAGATGCAGGCCTTCAACTTTGGACCAAAATACTCTTCTTGTGAAGCATACCCAGTCTGCAGTATGATGTTACTGGCAACAGAAAATGCCAGTAATACAGCCTAATACTAATACAGCCTCCTGGACTCCAAAAACAGTAGCCAGTGTCCCCAAACACAGTTTCTGCTCCAGGTACCACTTGTGCATGATTCCCTAAGACCTGAGACTCAGAGATGGGGCTGTCTTCCCAAGGGCACTCAGGGCTGGTGGGAGATGCCAGCAACCAGCTTCCAAGCCTGGCCCAGCCCACCCCCAACCTGTGGAGGCAGCACCGGGCCCCGAGGCACTCAAGGGGCACAAGATGAAAAGCCTCTTGAAGAGAACAAATGATGAGAAGAAATTCCTCTAACTGAAAGAAATGGGCTTTAAGGCTGAGCAGTGCTAGGGACAGGACAATTTAAAGTCCCAGACAGTGGGGACCCTGCCAACTGCAGGAGTACTAGGAGCAACGAGGCCTCCTTGAGCCTGAAAACCCTCGAGCTAGAAAGTCTGCCACCCTTGTTCCTGTCAGCCACCCAAAGCCAGCCCCCCAGGAGACTTAAGCATCTTTGCACACTGAGCCATATAAGCAACATGCAGTAAGGAAGCCACTGTCTACAGACCAGGCCCAAAACAATTTCCCTCCAGGCTCAGGGAATGGGAATTACTACTGCTGTGTTATAGATGTAGAAAGAAGCTCAGGGAAGTGGCTGCTGGGTCTGAATGAAGCCAGGATTCCATCTCCTACACTGCTGGGGACCCCACTCACTTCAGCGCTCCCAGGGCCTGGCCCGCTGCCCTCATCTGCCCCTGCAGTGTGCACTGCACAGCAGCCAGGGCTAGCAAGGGCTTAGCAACCAGAACATTAACATCTTTTGGTCCAAAAGAAGGTGAACCTGGTCTCAATGTATTAAATCAAAAATCGGCCATACACTCCCAAAGCTAACACACTCACCCTGGTCTTGTATCCTTCCCAGGCAAGTTGAGAAATTCAAGCCCAGCAACACTGGTAGGGAAAATGCTTTCTTGTGGTTTTTAAAACCAAATAGGGAAGGTTTATGGTTCATGTGAGATGGGCTGGGAATACCATCTCCAGGGCCTGCCGAGAGCCACAAAGGCTTAGGGTCCTCTGGGAAGGGCTTCGGGGCTCGGAGACAGCTCGGCAAGCTTGGGAAGGAGCCAGTGCGGGTGACTCATGTCAGAGCACAGCCTCGGCCAGCACTTGCTCAGGCAGAAGAATTGATGGAAACGTTCTTCACAGTGTATATAAGCATCTTCTGATGAGAAGAAAATAACCTCAAAGCAGTCTTGAGTGGACCGATAAGCATCGCTGGCCATGAGCCACCCAAGAGTTCAGAAGCAGCCTGATCTCCATAAGCGCATAGCCGCGTGTTCACCCCACGGGCATGGGAGCCTGCGTCAGCCGCGAACAGAGGGACAGGCAGACAGCACAATGGGAGGAAATGGTAATTGCATCCTTAGGTGCAAACACGATGGGAAATTTAGAAGTGTGCTTGGATCTTAAAAGAGATGAACATCTGCATTTCACATCACGGCACTTGGGAGACGCCAAGGAGCAGCTCATGGCTTGAGAGATTTACAACCTTGGCAAATTGAGATCCCCAGACCTTCCCAGGGGAGTCCCTTGGGGCTGAGTGTGTGGAGCCCGTGGGCAAAGAAGCAGTCCCAGCCTCTGCTCTGCCCAGAGAGGAGCAACTCGCCCAGGGCTGGCACAGAACCCAACTGGAGCCTCAGCCCATTGTGAGGCTGCAAACCCCTTCCCTGGGCCTCAGTCTCCCTTCTGGGACCTGAGGGTCTTGGACACAATGAGAGGTGCTTGCGCTGAATGATTTCTCCCAATTTGTAGGTTACTGTCTTAAGCCCCTTGAATTTCAGACTGCACATTTTGAATAGAAACTTTAAAGGGGTGATTAGGTTGGAAAGGAGCTGTTAACCAGATGAGTGTGCTCATAGGCAGAGGAAATCTGGGTACACAAAGGGACACCAGGGATGTGCACATGTAAAGAACACATGAGGACAGTGCAAGGTGGACATCCCTAAGCCCAAGAGAGTGAGCATGGTGTTTTGATCTTGGCCTTCCGGCTTCCAGAGCTGTGAGAAGTGTCCGTGTCTGGCTGCCCCATCGGTAGCTCTTTACTATGGCAGACATAGGAAAATGGAGCAAGTGGCTTCCAACATCTCTTCAGGCTCAGAGACCTTCTTTAAAGGAAACCTTATACATGGACATAGCCCGCTTCATGAAACCCAGCAGCTCTAGCTGTGAGCAGCCACTGGATCTGCCCCATCTTTGTCTCCCTCCATCAGTGCTTGTGGCCTCTCAGGGAGCCCTGGACTCCCAGAACACACAGTATCCTTGGAGCCAAGGTTGAAATTGGGTAAAGGGTGGGCTCCAGAGGTCTGGGTTTCTGAGTCACAGTCATGACAGTCCCTTCTCTGGGACCAACACATTCACCCAGTCTAGTAGGCAAACTGTCCTTACCACAGTTCTCCTGGGGGCTGAACAGCCCTGGGCTCAGCTGAGGGGCCCAGCATCAACCTGGACAAAGGAGCTAGGAAGCCATGGCCCACCTGAAACAGGCCCCTGCAAGGCATCCTGCCCTGGTGAACCCTCCAGGAAGCAGAGCTTGCCTGAATTTTGAATCCAAGAAGCACAGAGCGAGAGAAGCCTGAATGAATTTGCCCAGGACATGGAGAGGCCTGGCCCAACTACCCTGCTGTCTACCTCATCAGCACCTGGAAACTAATAACCAACATCCTGGACCAAGGACTCTGGGGTGACCTGGTCTCAAGGGGCAGTCCTGGGCTACCCAATGGTATGGACTCCCGAACTACCCACTATCAAGAGTCTGCTGAGCCACCAGGCTGTCCCAGGAAGCAGAACAAAAGGGCCCATAGGGCTCAATGTACTCCAGATGGGAGACAAATGCCCAGAGAGAGAAGAAGGGAAAAGACTCAGATCTGTTAGGCCTGAAACTGGGTTAGACCTCCACTATTGATCTCCACCTGCCCTTTGGCACAGGAGGAAGAAGGCAGGGGCTCTGCCATGCGTGAGCTGGTGACTCAAGAACTTTACGTCTGCAGTTTCAGACACTTAGGAATACACTGGACCCACAAAGCCTTGTCAGTCCAGGAGAGCAAAACGCCCATCTCTGTTTTACTGACCTTGTGGTTTGTGGTCACACAGACAGCAGGGCCAAGGCTGTGACCTCAGTACCAACATCAAAGAGCATCCAACTTCATCCCAGCCACCCAGTTCCAGGCAGGAACCACTCGGGTTCCTCTCACTGTCCATGGCTCCTCCAGCTTGTCCCTTCACATACAAATGTCCCTGCGTGAATGTACTGTTTGGCACAGAAGTGTCTAAGAAGGAAAGGTATGTCCAAGCGGCCTAGATACGTGGCCCTAATCTATAATCACAGCCATTCACCTGAAACAAACATCCACAGAATGTGTCATAGGCTGGCTCAGTCTAGGACTGGCAAGTGACTGCAAGTAAGTCCCTCCTTCTGCCCCAGGTTAAGTCCCTACCTAGCACATCTGTGACCTGGGTGAGGGATCTCTGGAGACCTCCTACACATGAACTTGAGCTCCTGGCCCCTGCTCTAATCTTTGACATGCCAAGCCTCAGATACACAGGAACTAGCCTGAGAAGACCTCCACCCCAACAGCCCATGGCGAGGACACCATGTCCCCAGGGCCAGCTCCTGCCTGGCCCTCACTGAGGCTCCTGGACCACACTCCTCAGCCCCTGCAGGTGGCACAGTTTCTCCTGGCTGGAAAGGGCAACTCAGAAGTAGAAAGTGCCGCTGTAAATGGGGTTCAAAGTTAGAGAGCTGTGGGTTCTAACCCACCTCCTACCACTCACAAGGATCATCCTCCTGAGCCTCAGTTTCCCCGCTTGCAGTACGGGTATGATGACATCTCCTCCCAGCACAGGTTACTGTGAGAACTGAGACAGATGAGCTATATAAAGCATCTGGCATTCAGTAAATGTCACTTCCTTTTTCCTACAATAACAATAATAATAACAAGAAAACAATGACCAAGAGGTCATGATTCCTGCAGCCTCAACCTTTCGTATCACAGCCAAAAGCCCAGAATAAAACCAGGGCCCTCAAGAGGTTGAAACGTAGCCCTGAGCATCTTAAAAGAAGCCTGATAGAGCGGATGCTGCCTGTTTTTCCAGGGAGACCAAGAGGGAGGGCAATGAATGAGAAGCCCTGGGTGTCGGACCCCAATTGCCTCCTGTCTCGGTTGCCTTTGACA